GCAGAGCACCGCACTTCACCTAACTCCAATTATAGTGTTAAATTCAAGTTAATTATTGCTTTAAATTTTACATAGAAATTCAGATTTAACTTCTTACAGTATATGTTGTACCAAAAAAACCTTGTTACAGTATATAAATGACAAAATTTTCTTTTTCTGACAAGTATATGAATGATGATTAAAATCTTTTTTTTTTTTTTTAAATATTTATGTTTAGAAGCTTGAATTTTATGGATATTTTTGGGTTGCAGCTGATTATTTTGCCAGTGAATATTTTGTTTGTGTGGGCTGTTCTCATTGAGAATTTGGCAAAATTTGGTTGAGGGAAAAAATTTGCCCAGCAGATTGAAAACCCAGCGGATCACTGGGTTCAATCAAGAACCTAGCCATCTGCTGGGTTCTCAAGAACCCAATGAGGGTTCGATTTCTTTTTTTTTTTTTTTAATATTTATGTTTAGAAGCTTGAATTTTGGAAAAATATTTCATGATATTTCTAAGTTTTTTTGGGAAGGTTGAAAGAAAGAATTTAGGGTGGTGACTGATTTAGGGAGATTCTGGGTTTGTATTATTTTTTGATTTAATGTTAGAAGTTGTTAGGGTTTGCAGAAGGCGAAAGGGAAGGAAGAAGATGAAAGGGAAAGAAGAAGATGAAAGGAAAAAAAAAAAAGGGAAATATTTTAAGGTTTTTTTTTGCCATGTCATTCTTTTTTTTGCCATATCATTCTTTTTTTGCTATGCTGTCATCTATTTCCGTCAGGTAATGGGACACGTCAATCAATTTTTAACAGAAGGACTAAATCGGGGTAAAAATGGTAAGCAGTAGGGACCAAATTAGGGATTTTTTTAGTTTAGAAACCAAATCGAGGGTTCGTACAATAATTGAGAGACCAAAATGGGGTTTTAACCTATTTTTTAAGAAACTGAAATGTGTGTAAATACTATAATTTTAAAATTTTATCACTTAGATATGAATTAACATTATTTTCAAAAATCTCCAAATGAAGTAAGATAAATGATAACAAAATATTTTTCAAGTATTTCTAATTTTGAATCTCTAAATTAATCAGTTTACAATGTATAAACACACCACACGTATCTACCCCGAAAAAAAGGTGCAAAAATGGATTCTGGTCCAAAGCAGTGTCGACACTCTAGTAAAAAATCGCATATTGATTTGGACTCATGCGTGGAAAACAACACCCAAACCTAGTATTAAAAATGAGTATATTAACTTTATCAAATGTGAAAATTTTCCCCACTAAGGTGATGTTGCCATAGAGTGCTTTTATTATCTTTTGACATCGAGATGAGATTATCCATTTAATTATGGTTTTGATGAAGAGAATTTGAATTGTAAATGATAACAAGTGAAAAAGGACAATAGGTGTAAGAAAATCTTGAAAGATTTAAAAGCATTTAGGGAATCAAGGGAATTTTTGTTTTTTGGGTGATATTTTCATTGATTCATCTTACTAAGTCAAATCTTAACCAAATTCAAGCTAAAACTTTTTGTTGGATTAAAGGAAAATCAAAATCGGCAGTGTTTAGTTTTGGTGATTGGTGTTAATTTTCAAATCTTTATGCTGATGGCATTTAGATTACAAAATGTAACTCTTGTCTTCTCATTTCTTTTGTAAGCGTGAGTACCCCTTGTACTCTTTTAATAAATTTTGATTCATCAAAAAAAAAAAAAAATCTTAACCAAATTGGATTGGCATTTGAGAGGGTAAAATTTCTCGATAAAAACTTATTTTTGGCTTTTTATTTTATTAAATTTATAAGTTTTAATTTCCTATCACACTTTAACTCTTTATTTATTAAAATTGAAAAAAATAATCATCACTTATAATATTTTATTAGTTCTGTTAATTAATTCTTAACTTTATTAGTCGACTATTAACTCTGTTAATTAAAAGTAAATTTTTATCAATTAATAATCAATTAATAAAATTTACAGTCAATTAATATAACTATTTTATTGATTAACTGACAATTTTATTAGTTGAAAGTAGATTTTTATCAGTTAATAGCTAGGTAAAGTCAGCTAATGATGTTAATAGTTGGCTAACAAAACTAATAAAATATTATAAATAAAGGTTATTTTTTTTAATTCTAATAAATTAGGTGTTAAAAATATCATGATATAATATGAGAGGTTGAAACTTATAAATTTAATAAGATAAATAATTAAAAATACACTTTTGCCAAGTTTGCCAACATGACAGCGTCCCCAGTAAGCTGCGCTACATTTTCTTTTTAAAAGATTGTAATCCTTTTCATTTATCGAGACAACAAAATATTCTTTTGATGTTTTTTATTTAAAATTTATATTAAAGTAATAATTTTTTATACTTTATAAAAGATAAATATTATTTTATTAAATATTAATATTTAAATTTAAAAACTAAATTTTTAAATTTTGAATTAAGTATTTAATTTTTAAATATAGATTAAAAATTTAATTTTTTAGAAGTTAAATTGATACGTACTAATTATTTTATTTTATTTTTAC